AAAAATGCTTCCTCACTTCATTGGTCCTTTGCACATACTGTTTTTATTTTTAAAAATGTGAAGCATTATTCCCAACCTTTCAACTCTCATATTAGGAGTGACTTCGAAGGGGAAATTATTGTGTTCCACACACCCCTCCCTCAGTCAATCAGATTCTTTTCTTATACAATCTCATAGTATTCATCTAAATTAATACAAATAATAATAGCTAAGATGTATTGAGTGCTTATCAAGTTCAAGTGTCATGCACAGTGCTAAATATTTTACAATCATCATATTTAAATATTATCTAACTAAAAAATACAACAAAATCTGAGAAGTAGGTCCTATTATTCTCTTTTACAGACAAGGAACCTGAGAGCCAGGGTGGGAAGCTGAGTGCATATTCAGTGGTGTGATGACTTGGTGGATATTTGGCTCTCCCATTGGATTGTGTACTTGGAGTGTACAGGGGCCAGGTCTGTTATTGATCAGCACTGTTAGAGGACTGCTTGTCATGTAGAATGTGTGCAATACCTACTTGTTGATTAAAATAATGATGAATATTTGCATGAGTAATGAACTAGGACACATTTTAATATGGAAACTAACTGGATATCCCTCTTATTCTCTACTCTAAATTAGTTGCCTATGAGATTATTTACAAAATTCTAGACAGTTGCTTGCAAATGAGAAAATGGCATTCCCAATACTAGAGATGTTTTACAGTCCCCTCCACTCTTCATTTTGATGACCATCTGCTCCATTTCCAAATGAGGCAGCAATTTAGTTTAATTTTACTCAGTGAAGGATGATTTATTTTTTTTGGTCCCTGTCCTTCTAAAATAGAGGGAGTCACACACACACAGACACACACTTAAAAACATGTGCACGTTGTGTTAAGTCCACACTAGCAGCTGTAACAAATAAACCCTAAATTTCCGAGCTTAACACAATAGATGGTTATTTCTTATTTGTGTAACAACCTGATGCGGGTGTTCCCGCTTGGCCAGACAGCTTTCTACCTGGTGATCTAGGAACCCAGGCTCCCTCTATCCATGGTGCCCCCATCCCTGGAGGCCTCAGAGTTCTCTCACCCAGCCGACAGCAGGGGAGAGTGAGCATGGAGAAGGCACACCAACTTCCTCAAAATCCTGGCACCAAAAGGAAGCACGTCACTTCCACTCATATTCCATTACTACAAACTCATCGTGTGGTCACACTCAACTCTAAGGAAGGAAAGGAAATGCTGTCTAGTTATATGCCCAGGAAAAAAAGAGAGAATACATATTTGAGTGAGTCACCAGCCATGTCTACCCTACTTCCCATCCTTATAACACAAAGCAGAGATGCTATAAGATTAGTACAAAGTGCCCTGGGGTACGGGCAGATGGAGCTTAATTTTAATGGTGAGCATCTGGAAAGGCTTGTGGAGGAGGGGATTTTGAGTGGGTCTTGAAGGACAGGTAAGTCGTGGATAGAAAGAGATCCTAACAGGTGTAACTGAGGCTGGTGCCAACATGGTGAGGTCTGAAGCCAGGAGGGAGTAAGGGTGTGAGAAAAAATGTATGCCTGTGCCTTGGTCTTTGTGTACATATCTCAGAGTCAAGTAGAAATTATTTTAATAATCTATTTTTCATGGTTTTCCTGAACTCCTTCTATAAGTAATTAAATAACAAACAGAATTACCCCCTCCACCATGAGTATCTTAGTCCCTAATGTGAAGATATGAAATAATTAGAGGGTGTGCTCTGTAAGAATTTTAATGTCATGGAAAACTTCTATTTACAAGACTGTGTTAATTATACAGGATGAGGCTGAACAAAGGGAAGATGTGCAATTAGCAGAGCACAGCTTATTATAACCAGCTCTGTTTAGAGGCTCTTCTGAACAGAGATATGTAATAAATCAAGAGCGATACAGTATTTATTTTTTACAGGACAACTTTTGAGATTTTAGAAATGCAGGACTTGGCCATTTTGGATTTGACTGTGATGATAGTGTAGGAAGTCTTTTACACTCTAGTCTAAATGGTAGAGAGAAAAGATCATGGTCTTTAGAGGGAGAAGATCTCTGTCCCTTCCTTGGTCTGCCACTCATTGGCTGGGTGATCATAACCTTTCTGGGCTCCTTCCTATGGGGATGATAATACATATGAAAGCACCTAGCACTGAGCCTGGGCTATATTAAGGACGTAGTTTTTATTTTTAGGTCCATTTCCCCTCCCTTCTACTTTCTTTTTCTTAAGCAGGGTTTCATTCACCTCAATAAAAATCCTTAAGACTTTAAGAACTATACAAGAATGACTGTAATATCAGGAGGATGTACTTCCTCTAAGTCCACTTCAATAAAGGCAGTTATAATATCAGTGGCTCTATCTGAGCAGTGTCAAGGATAAAGAAATATCATAGTTGTCAAATCCCAGGAGGGCTGACTCAGCTCTTCTTTTCTTCCAAAGAAGACAAACTGCATCTCATGCAATTTGCTTCTTGCTAGGAGGTTCTTGTTTTGTTTTCAAACACGATCTTCAGTGCAAAAGACAATCTCTTCTACACAGACATTGCAGGGGCTATGAGTCCCATAAAAGTTGGGCTTTTCCTTAGATATTTTTGCCAGAATATTAGAAATTGATATGAAAAGTTGAGAGCTTAAATATTGCACAATGTTCGCACATTATTCAGTTGCAAAATGCTGTGAGCTGCCCATCCCAAGCCTCAGCTCAGCTATGATTGGCCTATACACCCAAGTGCATCTCAGTATTGACTGAAATGATAGAAGCCCTCAGCCCCTGAGAAAGCATTAGGATTGCATTATCATATCAATAGCCCACATGCAAAGTTCTTGATAAAAATGATCATAATCCAGAGGCAAGAGATAAAATATGAGAGTTTGATTTGTGTAAACAAATCAAAGGCATTTAGAGTCAAGCTACTTAATCTATCTTAAAGCATTGCCAGGAATATAAACATCAGAACAGCTTCAGAGCCAGAACAGGCAAGAGTTGAGAGAGTAGAAGGAATTCTAAAGATTATTTGCTACTTTTCCCTGATTCACTATAATCCAGCCATATTGGCCTTTTTTCAGTTCTGTGAACCAGCCAAGCTCACAGCCTCTTGTCTTAAAGCCTCTATAAATCATCCTTCTGCCTCTTCAGAGATACATCCTGTAATAGTCAGGATTGTCTCAGGTAAGCTGCATTAACAAGTAGCTTCCATATCTCAGTGGCTTCAGACAATAAAAGTTTGCTATTTGCTCATGCTACATGTCCAGTGTGGGTTGGCTGAGGGTGGTCTGTTCTTTGAAGTCACACAAGTTCCAGGCTAAGGGAGCAACCACATCTTGGACCACATCACCTGTCAGAATGCCCCAGGGAAAGAGCTGGAGGAAACAACAATTTCATGCTCCAGCATGGAAGTGACACATGTTGTTTCTACACACAACCCATTGGCCAGACCAAATCCCATGGCTCCATGGAACCTCAGGGAGACAAAGGCAATGCAGTCCTGTCATATGCCTGGAAAGGGAAGGGAATGGGAACAGCTCTCTTGACTTGCACACCTCCCCTGATCACCCTTTATGAAGCAGGTTCTAGCTTCACTGACTTAGCACCCCTTTTGTTTTTTCATAGTGCTTATCACAATTTGAAATGGTATTGTCATTTATTTTCTGTTTTGTTTGTAGTCTGTTTCCACCATTGCACTATAAGATCCCTAAGAGAAAGGGCCATGTTGCCAGGCTAATTCCTTGAAACAGTTCTCAGAAATGGTCAATCTGCCTTCTATGTTTGAATATTGGATATATTTGTCTTGAATTTGGAGAATCCTTATAGTGATAATGTCATGTCTCTCAGTTTAAGGCCTTTTTGGCTGTGTGTTGATGCCTCTCCATCCCTCCTTGTCAGAGGATCCTCTCTCTACACAATGGCAGGGCTAAGGCAAAGACAAACTGGGCATTCCTTCAAATGCTGTTATGAAGCCAAATATTGGAAAACTACCAACTAAAACCAACAGAAATCTCCAGAGGCAGGGAAAACCAACATATCCAGTGAAAATTGCTGTAAACTTTGTAAATGATAAAGAGAAGAAAGGAATTTGGTGAATTGGCATTTTGTTGAATTTGCTTTTGGCAAATCAGCTTGCAGGGAAGTAGCTCAGACCTACCCCCTCACCCTCCACTCACAGTTGTACTTCAGTGTCAAATTGAGCCTAGTTCTTAGAAGGCGCTCTGAAATAGCTGTCCATTTCATGGGCAAAGAAACTGTAATTCAGAGAGATTAAGTTATTGGCTCAAATCACAGAGGTGATGGCAGTAAAGATAAAAGTATGAGTCAAGACTCCTCTTGCTGTGTTGGTGTTTTGTTTCTTGCGTCACACTCCAGGAAGGATGCGATCGTTTTTATAAACTTAGTATGCTATATAGGGCAAAAAGTTAGTGTTTACAGAAATATTCTAAGGATTTCTCTTGCTTTTTTCACTTTAAATAAAAACATTTTAATGATTATCTGTTATTTTAGATAGTTTTTATAACTATACCGTCATTTTCTATACAAAATACTATTATTTTCAAGTGAAATAAGAAATAATTGAAGTATAGTTGCCTATGGGACAAGGTTATTTCAGCAAAGAAGTTTCAAGAATCAATTAGCTATGGCCTTGGAGAGATAGATTTTTAAATAGGCATTGTCTCAGGCCACCTAAGGCATATCTTTAGTTCCCTAATATTTCATCTTAAAAGAGGCCACCACTAAAATCAAAGGTTTCATTCATTGTAAATACTTGTAAATACAGATTTTTTAAAAAAGGACACTTTTTTGCCGCTACCATTTTTTTTCTCCTGTATAATTCAGGAACAAGGCTTTTCTGGCATTTTACATACTATAGCAGATAAATACTTACAAAAGGCAAAAACCAAACTTTTCTCTCTACTCATTAGTCCTTGGATGTTGATTTCTGATTTTGTAGAATTGCTGTTATTTTCCCCAGTGATGGGCTGCCTAACTGAGCAGTGTGTTCTTCTCCTACCTGGGGAAGCAAGCTTTCTGTGTTCTCCTTCTTCTTAATACAGCTGCAGGGCACAAAGCACGGTCTCAATCTGTCCGATGAGCAGATTTGTGGCGGCTCATGCCAGGAGAAGCTGCTGCTTAGCAAACTGCAGGATCCTGTGTGGATAACAAGAAGAGAGAAAACTTTAGAAACAATGGAAATTCATCAGGCTCTGAGAAATGAAGGCAGAGTTCTGTCACTTCAATAAAAAGACTTGTAGTTAGTCTATAAGTATAATACATAGAATGGCATGTTGGAAAGCACTGAATAGAGGTTGAACAAATGAAAAAGAGAGAGAATAAATGAACAAATGAAGATCAGAGCTGGTCCTAGGATTGCAAACCCATATGCCTACCAAACCAGGCAAAGGCAAGTAGGGTAAATGAGGGAGCAGACTGGGTGTGAGATATTCGGGAACGGTAGAGCACATGTGCCATCTGAAGGGGGCAGCCACGGCTCAAGGCTAGCTGATGGTTTTCACTGATGCCATAAGGAAAAACAGGCTCAATTACGCCACAACTTCAGGTTTTCAAGGAAAGACAGAAATACAGATTTTCATGTGAAATCTCTTGAGTTTATATTTTAGAATTCAATTAAACAAAACAAAACTTTGTTCAGGTCAAACAAAGCTAAAGCCCAGTTCTACCTGAGGGTTAGGATTAGCTCATGGGTGGCCATGAGATCTAAGATCTGGTGCAACATCTTCAATTTCTAAATGATGAAAAAGGATCCAGAGGGCTGAACCTGCGTGGGCAAAGACACTCAGCTAATTAGTGGTACAGCGGGGTTTACTAGGCACGAGCATCTTCTCTTTCACTTAGCACCTTTCGCTTTCACTTAGAGACACTCTAAGATTGGCTGAATCTAACCAGATCTGTTTAAATAACAGATTGGAGGCCAACTAGAAGCTGCCTTTTGTTGATCTGATCCTTGAGTCTCAAGTTATATTTATAAAACTTCATAATAGGAGGTATAATTTTCTGTTCTCACCATTCATCTTATGCAAGAAGTTCTGGGTGAAGGTCAGTGGCTGAAATATGATGATCTCACCTATAAAATAATACTCTGATTACACACAATTGTTTGGGATGGTGTTTAGGCAAAGTGGTCACATGTGAAGAGAGGCAGGGAGGGGTATGGGCAGAGGCGAGTAGGGGCAGAGGCATGAATGGGTCCCACTGGATCCATTTGCTGGTTCCAGTTTCCACTAAAAGGCTTCTCTTGTTTATATGAGAGGTGGTCTTGTGTGATGGTTACGTGCATGTTGTTGTTGCTAGTGCTGGCGAGTCGATTCTGTGGGTGACCCTGCTGGTATTTGAAATAGTGGTGCATAGCTTTCAGCATCACAGCAACAGGCAGCCTCCTGTTGATGGGTGGTGTGGTTCCCTGCCCGGGAAAGAAACCCGGGCCATGATGGTGAGAGCACCAAATCTTAACCACTAGACCACCAGAGCTGCCTAAGTGTTTGAGATGGGTTTAAATATTGGTTCAGCCACTTACTGTGACTTAAGCTCTCGAGGTCCCATGTGTAAAATAGTGATAATAATAGTACCTGACTCACTGAGTTGTACTGAGGTTTAAATGAATCAATACATAAGGTGCTTAGACTGGTATTTGCACAAAGTAGGCACTCAGTAAATGTTTGCTAGTATTTGTAACAAATACCAACATTTATTGAATGCCTACTATACTTACATTTATTATTCGTAATTATCACCACAATCCTTTTTGTTTTATATTATTATCTTCACTTTAATAATGAGAAAACCATGACCTTGGGAGACCAAGTCTCTTGTCTAATGTCACCCTGGTATGTAGTGGAGCCAAGTGTTTGAACATAGGTCTACTCAGCCTAGCCATTTGCTTAACCTACCTCTTCAGTGCCTTGTCAGTGCTCAATTGAAGATACTATTCAGATCTTTAAAAGTAGAGAAAATCAACTTTAATTAAATATCAAATACTTATCAAGTCACATCCAAAGCAAAGGAGTCCCAAAACAAACAACCAAAAATACAGCAATACTTGCTAAACTTCTGCCTTATATAAAAATGTGTTGTTCTAGAATGGGAGAGTGCCACATGACTAAGAATAAGACAAGAGAGCATGTGGTCAATTTTTAGTCTGCATCAATCGTCACTCTTATCCTTTAATAGATGATTTGCTTAAAATTGATGAATCAATTTCCATGGAGGTAGCTTTTAGGAATTGAAACATGTATTGAATGTTAACATTGGGAAAATAACACCTGGAAATTTTACTCCAGCATATATATATATATATATATATATATATATATATATATATATACACATTTTTTTTGTGAGAAAGATTAGCTCTGAGCAACATCCATTACCAATCCTCCTCTTTTTGCTGAGGAAGATTGGCCTTGAGCTAACATCTGTGCCCATCTTCCTCTACTTTATGTGGGATGCCTGCCACAGCATGGCTTGATAAATGAGGCATAGGTCCGTGCCCAGGATCTGAACCTGCGAACCCTGGGCCACTGAAGTGGAGCAGGCGAACTCAGCCACTACACCACAGGGCAGGCCCCTAGCATATATTTTTTTAAAAGTCCTTGCTTTTACAGAATTTTCCATACAAAGAAAGAGTAGAATAAAATGTAAGCATTTATTAAAGCATATGAAGCATTAATATGAAGCATTTTAAATAAAACATGAAACATTATTGAGAGAAGAAAAGGAAAGAAGGATGGAAATGAGCAATTCCTGACTGCTAACATGAGTCAGATGCTATGCCAGGTCCTTTTTTTTTTTTTTTTTTTTTGCTGAGGAAGATTAGCCCTGTTGTCAATCTGCCTCTTTTTTTGCTTGAGGAAGATTAGCCCTGAGCTAAGTTCTGTGCCAATCTTCCTCTACTTTGTATGTGGGACACCACTACAGCATGGCTGACAAATAGTGTTGGTCTGCTTCCGGGGTCCAAACCCATGAACTCAGGATGCTGAAATAGAGCATGCCGAACTTAACCACTAGGCCATGGGGCTGGCCCCACCAGGTACTTTTATATACTTATTAGCATTTACTGAACGAAAAGTCACCAAACCAGGACCAAAATACATGTGGAAATGCATATATAGACAACTCAATTTTCTGTGGGCAGATATTTCAGTTGAAATTTCAACACTTACTTAGACATTACACTCCTTACCTTGACCACTCATTCTGTTTAATTTTTTTGACACAAAATATTTTTTGTTAATTAACTTTAGTCAAACAAGGGCAGAGAAATAGAGTATCCTTTCAACCAAAATCAGTTCTGGGAAAATATAAACTAGGAAACATAGAGATGGAAATTTTCTCCGCTTTAGGGTGAACTTAACATTATCCTAAGAGATAATGATATCTATTCTCAGTAATAATATAGAAAGCAGGAATGTATTGTGCAAGATGAAAAACATAAGCCACTGTCTTCAGTCTGATTTCTAAAGTCTAGTTTCAGTATTTAAGTTAGAGGCATCACAACTTTCCAGAATACAAAATGCATCCATATTCAAATGTTAGTTTTAGACTACAAAACAATATTTCAAAGTCAAATAGAAATGAATTTGTTCGCTGTTTCTACTCTTTTGGATAATTGCCATCACTGCTATTTCTCCTTGGGAAGATAATTGAAAATTGACTATATAAATTGTTGTGTTTTTCTGGGGAAATAATCTAGACTCAAAATTTGTCACCCACATTTTAATCTAAATTACAATTTTACCAGGTCTGAAAATTACAGCTACTCTAGTATATTATTCTATTGCATCTCATTAATATCTTCCCTTCTTTTTAGCTTCATGTGGCAAAAAGGAATTTTGCCAGTGCCATTTATGTCTAAGGAATCCAATTGTTTTGTGTGCCTCCACCCCAGAGTTAGCTATGAAGTGTGTTAGTGACAGAATAGGACAAATAAGATAGTAATAATATTTGGACATAGGACAAATAAGATAGTAATAATATTTGGACATGAGATTTCATCTCCTCATGTTTGCTACAGCCCTCTTTGTGGCAACAAAATAATTTGCACAGTGAATCTCTAATGTTGGCATCTGACCACATTTGATCCTGGTTTGTGTGTGGTTTGTCTGCAGCTAAGGACTTGAATAAAGACCAACAGAGCAAAACAGAAAGCACCTCTGAGTTGCCTATTTATTAACTTATCAAGATAAATTCTGTGATTCATTAGGAAACCAGGTGGAGGTAATAGTTGATCTAATTAGTTAATGAATTTAGGAGAGAGAACAGGGTGTTTTAACTCTGTAAGTTTCAATGATAATGAACTCAACTTTCCATTTCTCTTTGTCGTAGGTCAGGACCCTGGAAACCAGATCTGAGACTCTGAGATACTCATGCAGGAAGTTCATTGGAGCATGTTCTCGGGAGCAACACCTGTTCTGAGATGAGAGGAGAAAGAAGAGAGAAGGGAGAGTTTGAACCGTGACACAGTCACAGTTGAGGACTGAGCTGAGCCCCTAGGGAGCTCCGGAGCTGGGACAGGCCTGCAGAGGTCCAGTGTGTGCAAGAGCCAGCTCCCCTGGGCTTGGGAAGAGCTGACCGTCCATATCTCTTCCCAACTCCACAGTCAGTGACATCATGCTGATAATTTGAAATTGGAGGCATGTGTGGGGCATTTATGACAGTAATTAGAAAATGCTAGAAATCAAGGTTTTTATCACTCCCCTCTCCCAAGTCCTCAACCCCTGGAGAGCTGGTTTACCAGCAAACCCCCAGTTAAGAAAGATTGATTTGCACATCTCTGTGCCCAAACCCATGTGGTAAGTTCTTAATTGCACATTGTGCTACACGGAGGGAATGACAGACAACACTCCCAGGTCTCGCATTGTTGTAACTTCTCCAGGCTAGGTCTCCTCCGTTCTATACAGAGTGTTATTCTAATCCCAGATTCTAGCCCTGCTGTGTAGTCAGTGATCTTTATTGTTGCCTTTCTGAAAGAAGCAACTGAGCTCCCTTGGAACGGAACCATCCCTGTGAGATACAACTTAGTGATATGACCGCCTACGCCTAAGTGACAGTTACCAAAGGAGAAAGTACCAGCGATGATAGAACAACATCCTGGAGAAAATACTTAGGAAAAAGCCAACTGAAATTATTTTGTA